GGGTTTGATGGGACACTAATACCATCTACATTGGGACAGGTGGGGGGGGGGGAGTTGTGTGGGGGTGGAAGAAGGGGAGAGGGGTGAGAAGAACATGTTCATAAGGAAGTTTTGTTTATCTCGTTTCGTTTTTCCAGATGAAGCAGAGCAGCGCATAAGCGCGCAGATGATTATTCTCCCAGACATCTAAAGTTTTAATGTCCATATAAAAGGTGGCGATGTACCTACGTTGACATTTATTATGCCCTAAGGCAGAGCCGTTTAGCGGCGGCTGAAGTATTCAATGCGTGATAACCCGAGTTGGTGGGCTTACCCTTGGCAAACATATCAATGCTTTGCCCCCTGATGAGTACGTTCATGCCTAATAGGAATGGTAAACATTCTGTTTACCGTTACTCATTATACATTTTAATACGGAGATTTATGCTTTCTACATACATCTGTACTTCTGGTCGTACTTCGAATTAAATGCGTTGGCTATCTTATCTGCTGTCGTTGTTGTTGTTTTTCTGGGTTGTTCTACGTTTGGTAACGTTTCCGTGCCCCCATAAATATGATATACTTATGTGGAGGATTAGTATCAGCTTGTAGGTCAAGGGAGCTATTCTGAAGTTTTGTAAGTCTTTCATAAGGTGGAAACAGGGAAGGGGTAGAAAAGGAGATGAGGGACAAAGGACAAATAAGAAACATTAATTTTTTTATGCCTAGACGATTAGCAACACAGCTCGGTGCGATGTCGTGTCCTTGGAAAGGCTCTTTACACACATTTCGCACTTGTTTTTGTCCTATCGGAGATGAACGTTAGATTAGGCGCTGCCGCCCCTTGAACAACCTTTCAGTGTTACAAGAGGCGTTAAACCTACTCAATTTCCCAAATTTCGGTGTATACCTCTCATCCCATGTTGGTTGGCTCGACTTACAGGCATGGTGGAAGAATTCCGCTCGATAGATAATCATATTCGTGTCAATCGGGTCGTTACCCATCTATAAATGCAATTACAATTTTTTTTTAAAGTTGTTCAGACACTTTGTTAGTATGTGGCTACAACAGCGAGCCTAAAAGGAGTACAATATTACAAGATTCTATGGCTCCAAAGCAAATGGAGAACCAAGAAAAAATATGGATAGATTGATTTAATTAAAGAGACTTGCCAAAGGTTAAAGGCAACACACTGTTCCACACCAGACAATTACATTTCCTTCGATACCTTGTAGTACGAAGGTAAGGCAAAGTTTATCTTTCCAACCATCTGCCAGATTTTCTAAAAGGGTGAACCGACGTATGCAGTATAGTTGTTACGCGTTTGGCTGTCGCACAACGGAGACCCAGGTTCGATTCTCGAGTGGGAACACATGTTTATCGAGTATCTCGGTCTTCCTGTTGGCGTGTTGTATCCCTTTGAGCGCGGTTGGCTCTGACATGTAGTAACAGAAGCCCGCCTCCTACAAGTTCCAAAATCCATAGATGTGGGCATAAAGACACCTGTAAGGTGGAGTACCCTTAAACCGAAATGCACAGGACCTGCAGATCTTCCTCTGTTTAACCTGGATTTCGGTTTAGAAAGATTGCCCAAAAAATAGACTCAAATAGAGGATTCCATATTTTTTCGGTTTATCGCTGCTTTTGGATAAACAGTGTTCAGTTAAAGAGGACCCCACTGTCTTTTCTTTTTAAAAAGTATACTAGTCAATAAAAGTTGCATTATGCCGTAAGGCTGTTTTCGGATAAACCTTGTTCGGTTAAAGAAGACTCCGTTCACTGCCTTAAAAAAGAAAGGAATACACTAGATATCTAGAACATAAGAGTAGCATAATGTCCTGCTCATTTCCCTTTTCAGCTGCCCGCACAACGAGACGGCCTGTGCCCTCCCGCACTGTGTACCAGCAGACGGCGGACTCCGAGGGCTCATTGTCGTCAACAGAAAGTTGCCAGGACCCGCCATCCACGTACGTTGCTGGTTGTGCGTTTTTAAAGAATTGTTTGTTGTTGTTTTTTTTTGCTATAGTACATGGAGTTAATCGAATTACGCCATTACACACGTTTTTACGTACACATACCTGCAAACACACACGCACAGACAAACACACATATACATGCACAAAAATATACATACATATTATACATATCAACATACACACATACAACATGTGCACACACGCACACACATGCACATACATGTATAGAGATAATACCATTAGCAAACACTCTCACACATTTACATACATGCATACATGCAAGAGAAGAGTAAAACATTTTTAAAATAAAAGGAACGACGTAGTATACTGCAGACCAATAAAATAGCAGAGCAATGTAATAGCACATTTCGTGCTTTCTTGAAAAAATAAACGAGAAAAAACTGAATTTGTGGCCAGTCTAAACTAATGAGTGCGTCCAAACATGGTTTTTCAGTAATGCAGACACGCCACTTAACAATTTGCAACAGGATTGAGACCAATCACTTACGTAGTTTTACCACTCCGAAAACAAGTATTTCGGATGTAGATCGGTCGCCTTGCTTTCTACACAAGAAGAATAAGGGTAAGACAAATGTGACCAACTAAAAAGACAAAACAAAAACATTGATTTTATCAGATATGTTGTTATACCTAATGACGACAGTATAAAGCTGATAACAAATAGAGAAAAGCGAGGAAAATAAAAAGTTAAACAATTTTAATTTGAGGTCATTGTACTGTCTGACCCCAAAATCTTGTTTACGAAACCCAGACGGCCGATGTCAAAGCATAAATACATAATTAATTAGCTACAGGGTCAACCGAGATATTCAAGATAGGAAACTGTAGATACACATCGTACGGCCTGTTGAAACTGAAGCGGTCTGAAAAATACAACGATTTCAAGACTTTTAATAAAAAATAACGACAGACATCAAGAGAGATTGCAAGACAATGAAATGAAATGACGTACACTGAAGTGAAAGAGTGGCATACGTCCAACTAGTTGGGTTTTTTTTTGGTGTGTGTCTTTTTTTTTTTTATCCCACTAAGATTTGTTTTTGTTTTTAATTTTAACGTTTCTCAAGACTACCCCAAGGGTAGTGGTATACCTTTCATTTTTCTGACCCCTTCAATTGTTGAGCTGTATTTAAATTTCTTTCTGTTAGGTTCGTGCGTTCTTCATCTTCTGTTTTACTTTACAAATTCAAAGTGCATTTAAACATAGGTTGATCATTTTAAAAGTGGGATCATGTTTCATTACTACCAAAACTACCACCACAACCACTACCACTTTCACAAAAACAATCACCATCACGACAGCAACCACTATCACCACTACCATAACCATCAAAACAACCATCATCACAACCACCACCATCTCTATCTCCACCACCACTACTACTACCACACCGCCATTACCATCATCACCATTACCACCGTCCCTTCCACTCCCGCCACTACAACCAACACCATCACCACTACTCCCACAACTGCCACAACCACTACCACCATCACTTTTAGTACCATCTCAACCAATATCACTAATACGGCCATCATCATCACTATCACTGCCACTACCACCACCATCATCACTAACATCAACAATAACTATGACAACACCACCACCACCAACAACAACAACAACAACGAAGACACCACCACCATTATCCCCACCACCACTACCATCACTACCACCACCACTACCACCACCATCACCACCATCACCACCACCACCAGCACCACCAACAACAACAACAACACAACAACACAACAACAACAAAAAAGACAACACCACCACCAACAACAACAACAACGAAGACGACAACACCACTACCACCA